ATAATCTAAGGTGGAGTTAGAGGAAAATATGGTGCTAAAGAGGTTATCAGGAGTGCTGACTATAGAGATATCAGGTAAGAAAAGAAGAGGAAAAGAGGGGGTGCAGAAGTTATTACAGATGTTTTTGGTTAAGGACCAGAAAGATTTACTAGAAGAAGAATTAGTCAGGTCAGCAGTCTTATAAAATATTGGTCACTTTTATTATAAGGTATTGGCCAGTAAGGTTAAGACCGAGACAAGAAAAGCAAAGAGAAATAATGAACTGAGGGTAGCAAGGGAGGTAAAGTCAAACCCCAAGGAATTCTTCCAAATGTATTAAACTAAAACACGAAACAAGATTGGACCAATACAGTCAGATACCGGCGAGCTAATGGATAACGACGGAGAAATTAGCAATAATCTGAACAGACATTTTTCAGCAGTTTTCACGATTGAAAATTAGCATGATACCCGAGGCACCAAACTATATATAGAGATAGTGAAGAAAATATATTAAGCGAGATAGTAGTGACTAGTAACGACATTAATAAACAAATAGACAAACTAAAGCCTAATAAGTCACCAGGTCCCGATGAGATATTAAAGGAATGTAAGGAAGAGCTTAGTATGCCCTTAGCAAATTTGTTTAACATGTTTAACGGGTGTAGTACCAGAATCCTGGAGGATAACGAATGTTATACTGGTTTTCACTATCCTCTAACTACCATCCATTCAGTTTGACATCAATTGTAGGCAAGTTGCTGGAAGCAATAATTTCAAACTATTCAAAATCATCCGAAGAAGCACAAGTTGATTAATGATTCCCAATATGGCTTCACAAGTGAGCATTCATGTCTGACAAATCTATTAACATTCTTTTCAACTGTTTTTGAATCAGTGACAATGGGCACGATTATGATGTACATCTTGACTTTAGCAAAGCCTTCGACAGAGTCTCCCAGGAAAGACTAATGCAAAAAGTGGAGGCTCATGGAATTGGAGGAGATACAGTGGTCCCTCGGTTAACGAACACAATCGTTCCAGAAGGTGGTTCGTTAACCGAAACCATTGTTTCAGTGGGATATTGGGTAATTGGTTCCAGCTCACCGAAAATTACATAAAAACTAAAAATAAATGCAGTAAAGTACACTCTGTTTGAAGTGTGCATGTAGAAGGCTCCTGGTTGATGATGATGGGAATTAAAAGTGGGGGTGGAAGAGAAGTCACCCCATGCTTCATGCCACCATTTCACCCATAAAATTTTAAGTTCACTTGGTTTAATTCAAGATTATTTTCTTTAAATCAACACTGCACTGCACTGCATATTGTCAATATGTAAAATAAATTTTAGAATGACCAATAATTGTACTGTAAAAACGTAAAAATAGTTAATATTCGAGAGAGTCTCAAGCAAAATGCTACCTCCACTGAGCAGAGACACAAACTGACACCATTCTGGGCAAGTAAAGTGGCTGTTTGGTGCGCTAAAAACTAGTTCCCTGTACTTCAATTATGTTAAATAATTGTTAAAATTACTAAAAATTTTAATATAAGACTTGGAAAATTATTGAATAGTACAACCTTCTTGATATTTACTCAAATGGTAACGAATTTAAGCCCTAAAACCGATTACTGTATTGGTGGACTAATACTCCAGCTGGTGAGCAGGCGAAAACATGTTGACACGATTTCCTAAGGATTTCGTTAACCGAATTTTTGTTCGTTAATCGAGTTGAAGATTCTTATGGAAGGTAATTCGTTAACCGAAATTTCGTTAACCGAGGCGTTCGTTGACCGAGGGATCACTGTATTCTAAAATGGATTAGGGCATGGTTACAGGACAGGACACATCGAGTAAGCGTTAACGGCACTAAATCCGATTGGGGTAACGTCACTTGTGGAGTATCCCAAGGCTCATTACTTAGACCATTACTATTTACAGTACAGGTTGACCATCTCAAATCCGGACTGATTGGGACCTGAGCAGTGCCGGATTAGTGGTTTTGCCGAACCACAGGTGGTTAGGCTAGGTTAGGTAAATAGTACAAGTTAGATAATAAAAAGAAAAGAAACAACATATGAAAAGTAAGTGAAATTTATTGAAGTACAGGCAAAATACCTTACATGGTATCTGTATTTACTTACATCAGAAGGTTGGTTATTGCCACTTCCAAAGTAAAGTGTTGGATTGTACAACTAAACAGAGTTACATTTCTGAAAGTGGGGGGTCATCAAGACTGTCTTGTGTTTCATCTAAAAAGGTGATTGAATCTGCTATTTGGTGTTGGTGATGAAGATGGCATATCTTCAAGAACTGGTGATGGTGGTGCCAGCACATCTGGGTGAGCAGAAGTTGACGGCACTGGATTTTAAAGTGTTGACTCCGGTCTTGCAGATTTCTCTGCTATTTTTTGAACATATCCTGCAAGCTAACCTGTTTCATATTTTGGTCTTTCTTTGATTAGTTTTTCATGCAACATGTAAACATTCATTATTCCCTGTTCAGTAATAAAACTGAGTTGTTCGAGACCTTTTATCAGTTCACCTGTCAGCTCAACTAACTTATCACTGGACATTCTTTCAGCTACCTCTTCCTCATTTTCATCATTACTTTCTCCCCCACTGTTGTTTGTCTTTAGATTTACAACCATCTGAACAATTTCAACGTCAGTATAATGATGAACAGTCGATTCATTATCATCAACACCCATCCACTCGTTAATGTTATCTGCATTCAGCCTCGATGCAACTTCCTTCGCAGTAGGATTACTGAGATCTTGAGCATAAGAAAGCAGTTCACGTACAATCTGATTTTGATTTGAAACCCTAAATCTTGTAAATTCATTTCCAATTTCCTCACCAGGTGCAGAACTGAACATTAAAGCTGGCCACAAATTATGCCATCCGTTTTTCAATGTTGTTCTACTGACTGCCAAGTATTAGCAACTCCATAAATCACATCTCTCATATTAAATTCTTTCATAAATTCCTTTACTCAATGAAGACATGACTAGGGCTAAATAAGAGCAGTTTATAATAATAAATGAAGAAAAACACAGAGGAATAACTTGCCGCTCCTCAAACACCGCGTCAACAGCTAAGTCTGCTAGTGGCACCACCAAAACAGTAGCGGCGGATTGGCGAGGACACCAGCGCGAAATTTGAAATTACGGTGGCCAAATTATGTCCGAACCAGCGGTGGAACTAGATTACTGATTGCCGGATATGAGGTGGTCTACCTGTATTATGTACATAAACGACATAGATATAGTACTGTATAGGCATAGACAGCAACATAAGTAAATTTGCTGATGACACTAAAATAGGGCATGTAATTAAATCTGACGACGACTCTGCAAAACTATAGGAAGATCTAAAAAAAAATTTTGCATGGTCTGAAAATTGGCAGATGAAATTTAATGTGGACAAATGTAAAGTACTTAGTCTCGGAGATGTAAAGAGAGAAACTAGATATCAGATGAACAATGTTGTTATGTATAGAGAAATCCCACTGTGAGAAAGATTGAGGAGTAAATGATAAGTAGGAATCTTAAACCAAGACAACATTGTGCATTTGCTCCAAACAAGGCTAGCAAAGTACTTGGGTTCATACAAAGGAGTGTCAGCTACAAGACTAGCGAGGTTATCCTTAAACTATACTATCTTGTGCTTGTGAGACCTCACCTGGATTACACGGTTCAGTTCTGGTCACCATACTACACAATGGATATACTGTAGAATCCTTAGAAAGAATTCAGAGGAGAATGACAAGACTAATCCCGGATATTAGGAACATTGAGTACAGAGACAGGTTAAAGCATCTTAATTTGCACTCCATTAAGGGATGTAGAGTGAGGGGTGATATGATAGAGGTCTATAAATGGAAGTCAGGGCTAAATAAAAGTGATACAGTATTAGAAAGGTACTCAAACTATTCAACCAAGAGCAAACTCATAGCAATGTTTTTAAATTAGACAAATATAGATTTAGGCACGAGATAAGTAAACATTGGTTTGGAAATAGGGTAGTGGATTAGTGGAACAAGTTATCAAACTTCATTATTAACTTGAATACGCTGGATAGCTTCAATATAGGTTAGACGGATATTTGAGCGATAGGGGTTGGGTGTAAATGGGACTGCCCAGTATGGGCCAATAGGCCCGCTGCAGTTTCCTCCATTTTTATGTTCTTATGTTATAAAATTTCGATTGGCTATATGAAGAATAGCCTTACAACGTTTCCTAGATGTAATGAAATAAGAGTGAGTAAGAGGAGAAGGAGATAGTATCATAACTCATTGGGCCCAGTCTCTCTCCCTACATGCAAAAGAACAGAAGCGATCAAACCGTAATTGAAAAGTGAAAATTTGGGTAGAAGCTGGGATATACAGTATGCACTCGTACCACCCAGTATAAACCCAGCAATGCTGTCAGCACATACTGAGATATCCAGAGTGGAAAAGCAACATTCATTCCAGGGAAAGTCAGAGAAGAATTCTCGCAAGGATTGCCAGTGCGCTTTCCGGTAGTGCAAGGATTGCCAGTGCGCCCTCCGGTAGTGCCATAGGTAGCGTTCAGAAGGGGGTGGGGGAGGGTGTTGTGCCCAGTTTGACTTAATAGAGATAAGATTGTGATCAGAAGACCCTAAGGGGCCGGAAATTGAGTTCTGTATGAATAGTGAGAGCAGTTTTAATGATAAAACAATGGTTTTGTATCTTTCAGCTGTAAATTCTTTTTACATATTCATGGAAAAATCAACAGGTGTGATGGAACAATTTTCTTGACAGCTTTCTGAAGTTGTTTATTAACTTGAGACTCTTCTACAGTTATTGATGCTTGGAAAGCTGGTAAGTAAGCAGGGAGATTGGTAGGATCTAGTCTTGGGTGTCTCTGATAGGTGATTGAAAAATGATCATAGATTTGCTGGACTGCTTCTTTGTTGTTCTTATTTTGGTTCACTAGTGAAAATGTGAAAGAACATTATTCCATTTAAAAACATAATTTTGATAAATATCTTTTCAGGTGTTGCAACTCAACAAATGGCACAACCCCTAAATATCCGGAGCCCAGTAACATTCAGACCCATCAGTGATGTGACGTTCTTGGGACATGTTCATGCTCAGGCTCAGATGCAATCCAAAACTCTGACCCAGGCCATTGGTACTAGAGAAGACTTGTTTACACACAAACTGGAAATGTCCAAAGATACTAATCGTTCTTTGGGAAAACCTCGTACACCAGCTATTGTCAGGCCATTTGAGTCGACACCCAGTGAGTCTGTTCAGACACCTCAAATTACAAAAAATAACAGTGTACCTCAAACAGTGAAAAATAGTGAAAGTGTAGCAAGTCAACAGACCAGAGTTATTGTGGGAAATGGAGAACTCATCCCTGCATGTGACATTAAGAAAGAAGTTGTTGAACCACGAGTTTGGCAACCAGTGCAGCTGGACAAGACTTGCTGTAGTCCTGTACCTGTTGTGTCCAGTAACAGTGTACCCACAACCATTCCCAACCACATGTTACCTTCACCCACATCTATTAAACCTCCCCCAACACCTTCTCCCCCCCCACCACCACCTCCACCACCTCCACCACCTCCACCACCACCACCACCACCACCAGAGACTTCAGTTAGTCGCTTAGACATAGAAGAACGTCGATTAAAAGAGTTAAGAGAGGCGGGGTTAGAGGTCGAGGAAGCAGAAGAAGTATTGCAGGAGGAGGCAATGGCCCAACCCCGAGCTCTCACGTTGGTCTGCACAAAGGGTCCCCCAGCTCCACTTGATGCATCAAAAGAGGTTAGTCAGCCATAAAATTAATCGTCATAATATTGTCTCTAGAGTAGTTTACACCTTCTGTCCGAAAGTGTTTCATAAGAAGCTTCTTTGAATAATTATCATACAGTTCCAAACCTTGTATTGACAATGCTTACACTCGAGCAGTAGAAGCAAACAAGAATCTTTCACTTTTGAGACCTTCTCAAGGGATCAAGACTGTGATGTACAGTCCCGGACAAATGTTTTTGATACAGTCAAGGTGGATGGTGCAAAGTCAGCCCCACCCGTACTGGACGGCGGTTCATTATCAGTGATGCCACTCATGAAAAAACAAAGTTTACCAAATTCATTATCTGAATCTTTCCAGATCGCTAAAAAATATTTTGAAGTATGACAAAGTTATATCGTAATACAATTATTCTAATGTTAATCAATACAATTCTACAAAATGTACAAATTAAATAAAATATACACGAAAACAATAGATAATCAAATGAAATAAACACTCTGTATTCTGCAGTACAGAAGAAAAAATAATCTATTTGTTGGACAGTTTGACACAAGACTAAACAAAAGCTCTATCTGAGTAAATCAATGCATAAATTTTACTTAATATCTAAACAAGTAGACCTGCTGTACTGTAGTAATAGTTAAGTGTAGCTGACTTAGTAATTAATTTTAATTGTTTCTTCTACAAAAAAGCAACTAAAGTAATGTATTTAACATCTCTTTAAAAATAAATGAATGATGATTTATTTGGTGAATCTTGGACTCAGGTGTGCTAGACTACTTACCAAATTACTTAGCAAACTAAGTGCCAGAAGAAGATTGTCATATCCAAGTAAACTATGATTCTTAAATAGTAATATCTCTGTTAATCGGAATCCCTCAAACCCGGACCTTTCCGAATAGCCAGAATTTAAATTTTCTCGGAAAACCAATCCCAAGCCAGGAATTTTCCAGAAAATTCAGGCTTTGGGGGTGATTTTTCGAGAGGCACATTTTCTGGACAAGTCAGAGAAAATTTTCCCAGTACAAGTACTCGGAATATTCTGGGGACGGGGGAAATTTTTTTTCTTGTTTGAAAGATGAAAATCAAGCGCATTTTCTGGAAATTCCAAGAAAAATTTTCTGGTACCCAAGGATGGGGAATAGTTTTCTGGGTTCGAGAGATGATGTAATGTGCAATTTCTGGAACTCCAGAGAATATTTTTGTTACCCAGAAAATTCCGGGGATGAGTGATTTCTTTTCCGGCTTTGAGAACATTTTTCCGTTATCCAGAAAATTACGGGAACGAGAGATTTTTTTTCTGGCTTTGAGAGTCGTTTTGTTACCCGGAAATCTCTCATTCCTGGAAGTGCTTTGCACCAATTGTTCTGGCTAACAGAAAATAAAAAAACAAGAAAAAAGTGCAAAAATTTATGGAATTTATCAATGTATGGGAGGTTTTCAAAAATTTCTTTCAAGGTTAGGGTAAAATTTTCAAGATCTAACAACAAATTTCAAGCATTAGCCCCACTGGACACTGTCTGGTCATCGCCCCAAACACACAAACAATCACCTAAGTTGTTCAACAATCGAGCTCTGATACTTACATTTCTCAATAAGGACTAGGAAAGGTTATCATTGTTTTGATTAATAAATTCACGAAACAATTTATCCAATCAAGTTTTAATTTATTTGACATTGTAGTGTAGTGCATATTAAGAGACAGTGGGAATACTATAGGGTGGACCAGAGCTGGTGTGGCACCCATGCTGGACAGGCTACATTGAAAAGGAGGGCAGTTTGACTGGCTACCGAATGAATAATTTTTGGGACAATATGTATAAGGCATAGTTTTTATCATCTAAAGAATAGATTGATTGAATCATTGTATTACCTTTTTAACTGTAAATATTTACAAAGGTATTGAGTCTAGATAACATTTGCTTAACAATATTTATGCGCGTGCTGCTTTTACCTTATTTTTCCCTCCAACCCTAATGTTGTGACCTACTTTTAGCTGTGACACACTTTTATATTAATTGGGTCACTCACATGTTAGTCTTTCTCCCATCATGTCATCCATTGTTGGGATCAAGCCAAGGTTACATGATAAAGCCAGTATCACGGAGGGTGATAAAGCGTTCTCTTATGAACCATATTAATCCTCACATTCATGCTTAGTATACTGGTACTGACTACCTTTCTGAAGGACATTACAGCTTGGTGGATTCTGATATTATCATTGCAAACCCCAGCAACCAAGACACACACTACACTATGTCAGGATTATCTAATACTGATGTAACCTATTATATATGTCAAATAATGTGAAATTTGATTGGGTAAATTGTTTTGTTAATTTATTAAACAAAACAATGACATCCTTTCCCAGCCCTTGGGTGATTGTTTGTGTGTTGGCGGCGATGGCTGGACTGTGAACCTGGCATCAAGTAAGGGTGGAGACAGATTTTACACCTCCACCTTGTCTGTATCACGAACTTCTGTCCGGGACTGTTCTTCACATGGCTAGATGGGTAGTAATAAAAGTCTAGAAATAAAAATTGCTAAAATATTTAATTTTCACATGATTTATTTATGGTAATAATTTTATTGCAGAAAATGACATTCTTAAACACAGTGGGTTTGACAACCCATGCCCATGCACAAGAGGCAGAACTGACCCAGTGTGAGCGGCGAGCACATGTATTAAGTGCTCTAGAACCATCTTCTATTCCATCATCCCCCAAACACACTGAATCTATTTCGGAAGACCTAGTACAGTTGTTGGCCCCTGGCCACACTTTACCGCCTGTGATAACTACCCCTGAGGAGTTGTGTCTTGGTCACGAATATCCTCACAAGGCTCGCTTCCTTCACCACCTTGGGTTACAACCTCAGCATTCTCTTCACCGCCAACATGGTCTGTGTTCTATTTGCAGTATATTTTTCAAAGTTTTAGGATATCCTTGTTTGTTTCTCCACTCACTGCAGGATATGATGTACTATAGGTTTTATATTCTTATAGTACTGTACCGTATTAGATTTCCTTTTGTGATTTTCATTACTTGTGATAATATTCAAAACATATACTGTACAGTCCTGTATTTTATGGCATATAAGATGCACGACTATATAAGATGCGCCCCCCCCCCCCATTTTGTAGGGAGTATTTAGGAACCTTTTTTTGTGGATTTTCCTCCTGTTGCCATAATTTTCTTAAAATAATATATACACTACCAGTAAATGCGAGGAATAAATAAAAGTACTGTAATACCAATAAATAAGTTACAACAAAAAATATTGTACAGTATTGCCAAATCAGTATATAAAAGCCAAATGAAAATTTAACCCAGTCGCCATTTGCATATACTCCCTGGATCACCATAGCAATGCAGACGCTCCCTCCACCGATTGCCAAGCAATGCTCCCCCCCACACACCTCGCCTCCTCCCACTCCTCCACTGAGCCAGCTAACTTGCGTGCAAAGAAATGTATATTCCCTTTATATGTTTGCCCTTAGGACAATTATTTCTTTTACTCTTTTCACAATATGTATGTAGGATGGTGTGTGCATGTAACTGAGTAAATATTAATTAAGAAAGTTACCTATATCTACCTTAAAATACAAGATAACAAACAACCATAACACTCACAGCTTGGCCCAGTAGCCTGGTAGTTACAATGATGAGTCTAACCTGGTTACAATGCTGCCAGCGATGTTACCAGGCACAAGTGTGAAAAGAAAGTTATATGTAAATCTTCATTTGTATCAGGTATTTATAGATTTAAAAATAAATGTTGCAGGTATGGCATTAATAGACAGTAATGCCTGTAAGAGTTCAGAAATGGTTAGGCATAGCTCTGAAGAGTTGGGTGTCTGCTATGCAGATGTTAATTGTCTCTGGTTGATCTTCAGCAGTACAGTAGTTATAAATCGAGCTTTTATATTTACAATAATTATTTTTTTACTTAATTAAAAATAATAATGTGTTTAAGTAAGCAATAACATATTTTTAATTCTTGAGTTGGGTTAGGTAGAATTTAGCCTACTGGAGATAGCAACTGGGGGATTCATTAGCTTATGAGAGACCGCAACTTCACATTTAGGATGCAGGATGATTTTGTGAGCCATTTTCAGACAAAAAGTGCATGTTATATGCCATAAAATGCGGTACATAAACTTAGTTCTTTTTTACGTTTTTACTTACAAAAATATCAATAGTACTGTATTTCTATATTGACAGAAGTAGAAGCAATATGGCAACTGGTTGTTCAGGAAAGACTACGCCGTTATCGCCAGGAGAGCTCAGACCCACTTGCTGTGTGTGTATGTGAGGCCCTAGAGCAGTTGCTGGCAGCCAATATCAACCACCAACCTCCACCACCTCCCAATAACTCACTCTCAGTCCCCTTGCTCAAGGTAGCCTCAACAACACAAACTCCTGTCACTTCAGTTTCCCGGCCTCCGATCACTGTTGCCACCACAGCTACCGCCACCACTGCAGTTGGCACTATGACCTCTACTATCACCACTTCCCTCGCTACCTCCATGCCTGTGACTGCCAGCACCACTGCCACCACTACTACAGTACCATCCACTACAACAATGTCAACATCTACCACAATGATGACAACTGCAACAGTCGCAACTACCACATCAATGATGCCAACCACCACACCATTCATGCCAAACACCACACCTGTGATGCCAACCACCACACCTGTGATGGCAACAACCACACCTGTGACTGTAGCATCAACTGGTCATAACACCATTACCACCAGTTTAAATACAAAAGTGAGTGTGTGATAATCACATTATTTTTTTAAGGTGAAACTTGGGTGCTGATATTGTAGGTATTTTTCTGGCATTTTAATTTAATAACTACAGGCAGGCCTTGATTTATGCAAGGGTTCAGTTCCTGAAAACCTGTCCAAAATTGATATTTTGTAAATTAGTTCCCATTATCCCACAGATTCTCATTATAAAAGCCAAGATATGTTCCCATGAAAAAATCACCAAAAGTCTTAAAATGCCACAGAATATGTTTTAATTAAAATTTTTGGTGACCATATTAATTATTAACTAATAATGAACATAATAAGTGAAATGTATGCAGTACAGGAATAATTTTACACTTATGAGAAATTATTGTGCTGGAAATTTACTGAAAAACTGCACCACTAGTTGTGATGCAGTGCAATACTGCATGGCCCAGCCAAGACATATGGTTTTAATTTTGTATTGACACACCAACAATAAGGCTACTGCACTGTACAGTATATAAATTTTGAGATGTTTTGCTTTCATGGGATTTGAGTTTTGGTGAGGTTTTATCTGAAGGAATACTAAGCTTATCCATTTAACATTTTACTCTTTCCATTAACTGCAAATTAAACTCTTTGATACTAAACACATCTGTGTTCCCACAGCCCAAATTCCTAGAGTCAGCATCTTGCTTCTGTTTCACCTAATAATCCTGTGAGCCATGATCAGCAAAACAATGCAGTTCATGTACAGTATTACCCCGCCTAACGCGGTTTCACTTAACGCGTTTTATCATATACGCGGTGCCTCGCCAGAGCTGAACTTTCACTTAACACGGATTTTTTCCACATATACGCGGTGAGTGTCCGGCTCGAGACGCTATTTTTAGATTTGCCCCACCCGCCACCCTGCCTGACTGCCTGTTTTAGCTCATAAAATTCATACAAATTACCCGGCCAGAATATAATTTACATTGCTGGAATTCTTATAATTTGGTGATCATTTTGAATATAAACATCATATATTTTGCATTAGACATACAAATTTTAGATACAAATTTTTCTCTGAGTAACTATGTTATCTTTTGTGCAAAATATATGACATTTATATTCAAAATATTCCTGGTCTTACAAGGAATCCAGCAATGTCAATTATATTATCCTAACTTTAGTTTGAGGTATTATTTATTACAAAAAAGTTAAGTATTCTGGTTTTCCCACACATCTCCTTGGGACGGTTGGTGGGGGGTGGGGGGGAGGGAGGGACCGACCGACCATCTGTTACCCTGTGAAGAATATATTTTTTTTTTTATTAACTGAAGATATTTGTTTTAGCTCATAAAATTCATACAAATTACCCGGTCAGAATATAATTTACATTGCTGGAATTCTTATAATTTGGTGATCATTTTGAATATAAACATCATATATTTTGCATTAGACATACAAATTTTAGATAAAATATTTTCTCTGGGTAACTATGTTATCTTTTGTGCAAAATATATGACATTTATATTCAAAATATTCCTGGTCTTACAAGGAATCCAGCAATGTCAATTGTATTATCCTAACTTTAGTTTGAGGTATTATTTATTAAAATTTAGTGGTTTTCCCCCAAAAATTTCTCAGAGAGGGAAGAGCCGGCAGTGTAGTGTGAGAGGGGGAGGGAGTTGAGTCCATTATTTGAATGGACATTAACTTGGCGACTGTATTTCTCTATTTCTCTTAAGTATTAATTGTGTGCATGTACCATCATAAAATTAAGATGTTATTTTTACTACAACATAGTTATGTGTCTTCAAAAAGTGGAGTTTGGGGGTCGGGCCGGTTTCTATTGGAATTAATCCCATATGTTCTGTTGTTCACTTAACGCAGATTTCACTTAACACGGGACCCTCTGGGTTCTATTGACCGCGTTAAGTGGGGTACAACTGTACAGTATAGTCTGGATTTACGCGGTTTTTGTTTATGCGTTTGGTCATTTACACGGCACCTTGCCAGAATGAAATGTTTTCATTACGCGGTAAATTTCATCATTTACGCGGGTGAAGTATAATTTGTTTATTTACTGAAGATATTTGTTTTTAGCTCATAAAATTCATAGAAATTACCCGGCCAGAATATAATTTACATTGCTGGAATTCTTATAAGATGGTGATTAATTTAAATATAAACATCCCAAAATTTGCATTAGACATACAAATTTTAGATCTAATTTAAGAATTTTATTAGAAAGAGCAAAAATTTTATCTTTTGTGCAAATATATGACATTTATATTCAAATTACTGGCAATCTTGCAAGGAATCCAGCACTGTCAATTATATTATCCTAACTTTAGTCTGAGGTATTATTTATTACTAAACCTGTAAGCCTAGTGTTTTTCCCCAAACATTTCTGGTAGGGAGGGTGGAGGGTATGGAGAGGGAGGAGGAGGACCCAGCCAGTGTGGGAAGGGGGGCGGGAGGTGGGGTATTTTGATTGACAGATAGTGGGTGAAGTATAATTTGTTTATTTACTGAAGATATTTGTTTTTAGCTCATAAAATTCATAGAAATTACCCGGCCAGAATATAATTTACATTGCTGGAATTCTTATAAGATGGTGATTAATTTAAATATAAACATCCCAAAATTTGCATTAGACATACAAATTTTAGATCTAATTTAAGAATTTTATTAGAAAGAGCAAAAATTTTATCTTTTGTGCAAATATATGACATTTATATTCAAATTACTGGCAATCTTGCAAGGAATCCAGCACTGTCAATTATATTATCCTAACTTTAGTCTGAGGTATTATTTATTACTAAACCTGTAAGCCTAGTGTTTTTCCCCAAACATTTCTCAGAGAGGGAGGAGCCAGCGAGTGTGGGAAGAGGGGGGGGGGGAGTTGAGTCCATTATTTGAATGGACATTAACCGGCGACTATATTTCTCTTAAATATTAATTGTGTGTGCATACCATCATAAAATTAAGATGTTATTTTTACTACAACATAAGTATTGTGTCGGCAAACAGTGGTGTTTAGGAGTCGGCCCAGTTTCTATTTCAATTAATCCCATATGTTCTGCTATTTCGTTTACGCGTTTCTCGTTTTACGCGGACCTCCACAGGTTCAGTTGACTGCGTAAATGAAGACTATACTGTATTTTATTTTTAACTCAGTTAACCACTATAAACTGACCAGGTCCTATACAGTAAGCCTAGAAATGCTTGTATATCATCACCCTAGCTTCTTCTGATGCAGCGAAAAAAAAAAAATCAGATTTTTCTTATTTAAATCGAAACCTGGGATATTTTTTTTTCATAAATACGTATCTTTAAACGGGATCTTCATAAATTGGGGACTAACCACTGTACAGTACATCTTTCTTATTTTTTTTTAACCTCTCTTTGAGAGGTTCATATCACTTATTAACCCTGTTGTGCACGAGATAAGTTTTAAGTTTTCTAGTTCCAAGATCTCATGAGGCCCCCAGGGGCCTCCCAGGGCAGGGGAGACAGTGCACGGTGAATATTTTTTTGCTTTATCAATTTCCCCCCAAAAAACTTATTTTTATTGGCATAAGCCATATATCTTTGGCTTTGTAACTGATTGTTCTGCAACATAAGCCCAAAAAAAAAAGAATATAGTAATACAAATATATAGCTATTTATTGTCACTTCTAATAAACGAGAGAAAAAAAATACACACCAATGCATTCACAACTTTTTAAGTACTATACAATACTGGCAGTGGAATTTTATGAGTTTTCTATTGCAGTAATCACATTTCTGGTATGATCAATAGTTTTTGAGAAAATAACAACAAACTGATTCTCAAATGGTTTTTTTTTTTTTTTTATTATTTTTTTGCCTATGTTTTATATCGATATAAATTATATTGCATCTTGTAGCCAACATTATAATGGAGAGAATGGTAACGATAAAATTCATGTAAGTTTAGAAAATCATCCTCTTTCAGAGACTTTTTTTAGACATTGTCAATATAACGAGGTTGTAAAGCCTGATAGCGTAACGGCTTTTGAAAACTAAACACTTTCCCTGTAAATATGAAAAAAAATTACATTACACAACCATCACTTCACTTCTCTAACACCAAAAAGAAATCATTTCAGGGAGTAGGGTAAGTACTGTAATCCAGGAGTTGAGGCAGCCCGCACGGAGTTCTGGAAATTTAAATGGACATGGCTCACACTCACGGTCTGGCTGCTGAGATAATATTGTGCATTTATCGTTCAGGTCTTCCCTTCCCATGGGCCTTGAAAGTTGCCAATTAGTTTATTTGATATAACTTACTTGCTACTATGATGCATCAAATTTTGACGCAACTCTGTTGAAAACTTACTTTTTGGTGCATGTATGGTCCTTCGAAAACAAATTGTCTAGATTCCTGATTGTGCCTCCAAGTTCTCAACCTCTACAGCCTGGAAAGGTGGCATAAAATATATAATTTTCTGTCTGGAAAGCCATCTATGTATTTATTCATTATACAGGTTTTGTTATAAACCACATCCAAAGACAGGACTCTACATAACTCTCTCTTTCATATTAAACACTGCCCCCACCAGGGTCAAAAGGTGTCCCCAGATCAGTCTCATGTACCATAGTCCATAGTTGTTCAACTTGCTTGTAGTCAAGCTGCAGCAGCCAACCCCATCCAAATCCATATCAAAAGTAGAGACTTTTCAATGTGTTAACTACTTAAGGATTTACAAAAACTGTCATTGAAAAATTTTAGGTGACATGTAATTAGCATTCTAAATTAAATAATAATTTCCAAGAGTCATTAGGACAAATAATTACCAAAATATCACCTATTTAACCACATCCTTAGTGAGCAAAATTAAAATTTTCAAGATTATGGCTGAAGCTGTAATCTTGGGGCAGAATTTTTTTTTTGGGGAATTGGAAATTAAAGAGACATTTTGACTCCTTCCTGACCAAGGTTCCTAATGATCACTCCATATCCTGGGGCAACAACATCTTATTAGGTCTAACCTGATAAACTAGGTCCATCAGATGACATAGGCTGGTAATCTACCTATAATAATGGCATAATCCAGCAGTTTGTATTATACAAACAATATAGCTTTAAAAATATATATTTTCCATTCTTTCTTTTCATCACTTACATCTCCAATTGGCTGTCCAGCTTTTCTGTCATCAATGATATGCATATTTAACAATTATACAGTCAACCCTCGCTTTACGCGGTCCCACATTCCGCATTTCCTTGTTTACGCGGTACCCTGCCGAAACAAGGATGCTCACATTCCGCAGTGCGTGTACCCCTTTATGCGGAGAGCGGCTGGCGAGCCGCGCCATTTTTGGATCCAAACCTCCCGCCATCTCTCCCGCCCTCTCCCGCCATCCGCCATGTTGTGTAAGCGGCGCGAGCAGGGTGCGCACAAGGTCGACCAGTCATCAAAATATTACCGAGTTCTTCACCCGCCACCCACCACAGCCGGCCCAAGTCAGTGATAGTGATAATTATAGTGAGGATATGGACGTATATGGACTTTGAGGGGTTTGACAGAGAGGCCCTGCAAGCCTCTGTGGTGGATAGTGATACAATTGATACAAGTGATACAGGTGAGGGCCAATAATCTGCCCTCTGCCTCGGAACCAACCCCCCCATCCCCGTGTGCCCAGCCATCTTTTCTACTAATGTAAGTGTTAAAAAACCTAATATTATTGATATTTCTCTTAATTATTAATTGTGTGTGCATACCATCATAAAGTTAAGATAAAATTTTTACTACAACATAGTTGTGTGTCGTCAAAAAGTGGAGTTTGGGGGTCGGCCCGGTCTCTTTTTTAATTAATCCCATATGTTATGTTGTTCACTTTACGCGTTTCTCACTTTCCGCGGTACCCTGTGGGTTGAATTAACCGCGTAAAGTGAGGGTTGACTGTATATTTTTACTCTATACCGTACTGTAATTACAAATTCATGTGAGATTAAATGCCAAAGTACACCATACAGTATTTGAATTATTTAAGACAGTCAATCAGTTTTGTAACATAATATTGTGTCTTACCAGGTGGTGATGAGTAGAGGAGGCACCAAAGCACCAATGAAAGACACGATCATCATGTCTTCATTACCACCGGAAGAAGACCCACTGTTGGCAGGACTCCAGGGGGTTGATACTGTTATTGAACATTTCATAAAAAATGCCCAAGGTAAATATGACCATTGTTTTTCACAGGTTAAGTGTTTATGCTAATTAATGACTGGTACATTAAAAAAACATCGTTGTTTTCTCATATATCTTTAATCCTATTTTTACTTCTCTCATGTCTTTTATACAATTGCTCTCAAGTTTCTTCCATATTTTTGCTTCGTTTATGACCTAATGCTCTCCCTACTCAACTGGCATATCATTGTATCATGTTCATGGGTTGCAAATCCAGGAAAACCCTTAGATATTAATGGCTGCAACTAATTCATTAATTTGTCACAACTTCCCATCATAGACAAGTCCCTTAAACAGGATCGACCATAATTGCCGATTCCAGATTTTAGTCCCTCAGTACCAGCCATTACCCCACACTGTTATACAGTGGTCCCTCGGTTAACGAGCACAATCCTTTCCAGCAGGTTGCTCGTTAACCGAAAAACTCGTTAACCGAAGCCATTGTTTCAATGGGTTTTGGGTAATTGGTTCCAGCTCACCGAAAATTGCCTAAATTCAACAAAAAAAGGTAGAAAAGTACACTTACTTTGAGGTGTGTATGTAGAAGGCTCCTGGATGATGATGATGATGATGATGAGAATTAGAATGAGGGTGGAGGAGAAGGAAGAAGAGAAGGCATTGGGGTGGAAGAGAAGTCACCCCATGGCACCATTTCACCCATAAAATTTTAGTTCTCTTGGTGTATTTCAAGATTATTTTCTTTAAATCAACACTGCACTGCATTATATATTGTCAATATGTAAAATATATTTCAAAATGACCAATAATTTGCTTGGAAACACAGAAAAAAAGCGTTTAGTTGAAAAGAGTCTCAAGCAAGATGTTACCTCCACTGAAAACTGTCTGGTGTGTTAACAGGCTGGATGGCATGCCAGAAACTAGTTTCTTTACCTTCAATTATGTTCAATAATTGTTAAAATGACTAAAAAAGTTAATCTTAAACTTTTAAAATTATTGAATAGTATAAACTTCTTGATATTTACTAAAATAGTAAGGAATTTAAGCCCTAAAACCGATTACTGTATTGGCGGACTAATACTACAGCTGGTGGACCGCCAAATGCAAGCGAAAACATGTTGAAGTCGGCTCGTAAACAACTCGTTAATCGAGGGATTGCTCGTTAACCGAAGTTAAGAATCTTATGGAAGGTAAATCGTTAACCGAAATCTCGTTAACCGAGGTGCTCGTTAACCGGGGGACCACTGTAATGTCTTACTTGTGCCCCAGGAGAAATGCATACTGGGTAACTAAGTGCACATTTGTTTCTGATTAAATTAAATGCTCAAGAATATTTTTTTAAATAGATTGTGGAATTTCAGTTTATATTTAATTTTCTCAGCTCAAGGAGGCAGTAACAACTCAGCACTTCTAGAACATATAGAGGAAGTGAGGAGGAGTCAGGTGGCTGTATGTCAGACTGCTCAGCTTGTGCAAGAACAGGTGGCCCAGCTTGTGGCATCCCGTGCACAGTTGGAAGCTCACCGATCAACCCTACACCACCATCTGGCAGCAATTACATCCCTTATAGCCAGTAGTACTAATCATTCTTCCACTGCCCCCACCACCACAGCTGCCTCCACCACAATTGGAAGTTCTCACACCACCATATCTAATGGTACACCAACCTCTGTGGGAGCTGCTGTAGCAACTTCTCAAATGGGTGTAAATACTGGTACATACACATTGGCTACTGGTAATTGTGTAACTAGTACAGCCACCACTGCCACCAGCACCACCCCAGGTCTCTGCCATCCCATCCCTCTCACCACCACTGCACCAAATCTTGCGACCAGTCACCCCGTTGCCTCCGTTATCAATAGGAGTTTGCAGTCACTCGTGCCAGCTGCTTCTGTCATGTCTTGGGCTGGTTTGGCTTCTCCCTTTCTTGGTAGTACAAATATTGCTCTCTCTTTGGAGGGTAAAGATGGAGTGTATTATTCTCATTTAACCACAAAGGATAATGGGAAAGATATAAAAACTGCAGTATCTAGTGCAAACACCTCAAAACCAAACAACAGAATATCTGTACCCCATGGGAATAACAAAACTTCCTCCAGTAGTCGCCACAGTTCTAGCAAGAGCCACAAACATGCTTCAGTTGAAACAACTAATTGTTCTTCAGTAAAATATAATGGAATACCAACAAACCTCCCCAAGCATATTTTCAAACCTCTTCAACTTAGTGGGCCAAACACCAATTCCCCTACAAATACAAAAAAATCCTCCAAAACAGTAACTTATTCTCAGCCTTCTAACATAACAGGACTTCCACAACCCTCTGTAGCTCTTGTAGCTCCAACCACAACAGTAACGAGCCAAAATGGGTTGGTACCACTCCCGATCATTCACAATTCTGTCAGCAAAAATGGTAGAACCAACAAACCCCAAATTGGCTACACTCCATATTCAAAAACTTCTCCCACCAAAGTAACACAATCTTGGATATCAAATTGAAAGTAAAGTCTTGTATTATATCTAGATCTCTATCAATACGTAGATTAAAACCACTTTCCATCACAGATATCCTTTACAGACATAAATAGAACCTTGTGAATTTTTGCTTGAGATGGTTTCTCATACAGTATTCCATGTTATAGCTCTGCCAAAGAATTTATCCTCATGATGCAAGAAATCCAGCTGCTAGTGTGAGGTGGATGCTTGTGATGGTTGTAGCATAATGTAAGAGATCTCACTAGTCAGGTATATTCATTTTATAGACCACATGGAGATCTTAGGAGTGAGGCAATATTTTCTACAAACGTTCGAGACAATTCTCTGATAGCCAGTCACTCATGTGGGACTCCCAAAACAACACCTACAAAGAAAAAAGTGAAAGAATATTGTAAAACATTTCAAATAAGACCTTTGATTTTAGTGGGTTAGGAATGTAACACAATTGTTAAGGAACTTTTCATCAAAAAAGACAAAAAGATTTCTTTGATGACAATGGAAAGACAGATTCAATAGTCAACCAACATCTGTTCATCAGCCAATGCTATTTCTAGATCTAACATGTCCTTGATGAATAAAAAAGAATTACCTTATAATATTCTGTCCTAATTGCTCTGAATTTCACTTACTCTCGTGTCACACATGACTACCAACCATTGATAACTTTAAACTAACACCACCTGGGAACTTTACGACTTTTATTTACATGAAATTAATTTTTTATTCAGTCTTAAAATATCAGGAGAATATTATTACTGTATTTATCACCATCAAAAGGAAAAGGCTGTCACAAAGTAAAGATTTCTTTTTATACTGCTAAGTATAGATGATTATTGGTACTGTACTACAAATGTAAAATCACCTTATTGTTAATGATGAGTAGAATGAACAGTTGTTGATCAGTTGGCTTCTGTCACCCATGGAAACTACACTAAGGAGAAAGTGATCTTTCTTCTACTGATGGTTCTTTTAATTAGCTGTGGTTATGTTGCAGCTGACTTGAAGGTCTGGCACATTCTTTCACTTTATCCCTCAAATATTAATGTTTTATATCTATCATAGTTTATCCTGTTATCTTTTTTCTTTTCCTTAAGCTTTCCACTTGTATACTGGCTAAGGCAAACCTTATTCTATTCATACATAGTTATTTATCGTAAACTATTGGTAACATCTTCACTCTTGTGACAGCCAAACCTACAAGCAGGAATCTTATTTAGATGTTTCAAGCATTGGCATTGGTTTTTCTTACTTAACAGAGCAGAGACGGTTAGTAGCACAAATGTTCGAGTAAGTTTCTGCCTGCACGGCTCTGCTCTGTTTGTAGAAAAAGGCCATGTGATGATAGATGCCTAGAACTGATAGTAAAGGAGGCTTATTATTATTTATTACAATTCATTTGTAAATCAGGATAGGACAGATTCAAGAAATGGCTTATGCCATATAAAAGTGCAAATCATCAAATGGACAGGAATGATTTCAGTACTCTATGGATATCCGACTTAGGTCTGTTGCCTCTAAAAAGCTGCTGGAGAAAAGTTTTCATGCATGAACCAATTATTGTGCTATTCCAGTGGAGGTTTGTGTTATGCAAGACCCTGGTGAGTGTGAATGATGTGTGCCTATCATGAGTCATGTTTTCTGTATTATGAGTCATCCCATTTTCTGTATCTCCTATGGAAGTACTGTGATGTCTGAGTCAGTGGGTTGAATGTCAAGATGGCAGCCTGATATATGCTATAATGAATTCAGATATGGATGCCAAATTGCTGCCATCACAATTGTACTGACAGACCAACTATATCACATTTGTATTTATAAACCAAATAAAAATGAAACACAACAGTTAGTTTGTACTCTCCCTTAACCATTGATTCTTGATTAGTTAATGGAGCAAGAACATGTGAAAGTTTATTGGGTTTTAGTAGCGAAACCCAATATGTTCCTTTTCTTCGTTTATTATAAAAGGATTTCTATGTACACTTTCAAAACGGATATCACCGTAACTATCTCAATTGAGCTATGGAAGTTAGATACATAGACGGCAAGCTTGTCTATGAAGCTTGGTTATCAATAACGTCTGTTTCTCATGAGGGTTAGAGTGAAGACTGCTGAGAGGAAGAACGGAGCTTATCTTGGATAAGCTTAGTTCGATGTCCTTCTCTCGTGAGTTAAATAACTACTGAGGGAGGAGAGGCTCTGAAGAAAGTTTGGTCAGCTTCTTTACAGACTCGCCCTCCAGTGGAAAGTTACCGATCACGTGTTCAATGAATGGACCACATGATCACTGCATGACATCTCACTGCTCATGGAAAGTTACCGTGGGTGATGGAGTTATATAAAATTAATGTAATTAACCCACATTTATATAATACTGCTGTCAACAATGAGACAGGTGCTAATAAAAGTTTTAATGTAAAAAGCAAAAAGTAATTCTAATAATGTATTTTCCATATTTACCCATATTCATTTTCATGCCACTTGCTTCAGATTCTTGATACTGTACATGTAGTGTGTATCCAGGAATAGTGACAATTCTACAAGTCTGAATAAATAATAACATACATCTGTCAGATTACCTTTTAAGTTCATTGGGCACAAACTACCAGGTACAATACAATACCTCTTGAGTCTTCTATTTTTCTAACAATACCCATATATTAGTTCATGTTAATCGGCGGTATTCACAGGCGCTAAACCACCCAACTGAATGGGAGCATTATAGTGTATCATTATTCAGAAACAATTATAGGCCCAAAGGCATTCCCAGTGGATCAGGTTTCCTAGCTGAATTGTTGGAACAATTCATCGGGATGGGTACCTGCCTGATGACAACCCTGATGAATGTACAGGTATCCCCAATATACGATTGGGTTGTGTTCCAGAAAACCCCAACGTAAATAGAAATATTGTAAATCGAGCCCCTTTTAACATGTTTCAATGGAATACAGTACATTCTTGGCCTATGGTGTAATGGTTAGCATGCTCATTTCACAAGCGAGTGGACCCGGGTTCGATCCCCGGGCAGGGTGAAACTATGGGCAAGTTTCTTTACACCATTTGTCTCTGTCTACTCGGCAGTTATTGGGGACCTGGATGCCAATCAATTTGCAGATCGTATTCCGGGGTAATGGTTAGCCAGTGCAGTTGGCAAGTTGTCCGGTCTTCTCAGACTATTCCTTGACACTGACTGTGTCATGCAGCGCATTAACTTTGGGTGTGGTTATTGTGTTGGCGATAGCTTCTACGCCGTAAGCAAATTCACGCCGAGGTGGCCCTTGGGCTGGCCATCCTCGTTATACGAGGGGCAACCATTATTATATTTATTTACACAGAAAAAACAATTCTACACCAATTAAATATAGGCAATGACTGTTATACAATGTTAAAAAATTAACACCATTTTCCACTATGTGATGGCTAAGATCAGTTTTATGATTGTCACTACCTGAATGCTTTCCCTGCATCTGCATTGTCACTTCTAAGAAAAAGTAATGTGCAATAACTTACAACAACCCATGCTGGATGTGTGGAAGGTTCTGCCTGTCCACAGTGACTACCAGGCTAAACAGTTAAACTGCATCACATCGCCCAGTGGATGGTTTGCATGTGGAAGAAGCTATTCTTTGTACTGCCAGAGGTGGCCCGAAGTGGTTGTGATGGGGTGGGGGGTAAATTTTGTTTTACCAACTCGCCACTCAGCCTATTAAATTTGATCAACTGATGATTTTTAAAAAAAATGACCAAGCGAACTACAAAATTTTCTTTATTGAATGTTTAATTATTAAACATTAGCATAGAAATTTGATGGATAAAGTCAATTCTGTATTCAAATACAGTAGAACGAAATAATAAAAACTTAAATTTTAATTCTCCTAATTTTCTTAAGCTTCCAATTATTATCAGCAATCTTTTGAAGATCTAACTGATCAGTTATGTCATTTTTACACGCTATGAGCATAAGATTATGCAACCGTTTTTATGATTTCTGTTTCTCAGGGATCTTTTCAAAAGCTTGAGCATGCTAAAAGACCTTTCACTATTAGATACTGAAGGTGGTGGTGCTGTGAAGAATAGCCTGAAAACTTTTGCCACATGAGGAAATAAATGATACTTTCTATGAGCATTCAGTGAACATTCTGCAGCTAAGCAAATGTTTTTCCTACATCAGGATGCTGCTCCACATATTCAGAAAAATAAATGTTGAACACTTAATTAAATTCAAAAATATTTAGTGTCAGGTATTTCAGATTTTTCATGGCTTCAATGAAGCTTTCCGAGTCGTAGTCTGTAACATGAGGATCAAGAAAATCCGCAAAATATTTGAATGAAGATTTCGGATTTTCACAGTTTGAAGTCAACACAGAAATTATCATATCTAAAACTGCATTAATTTCCTTACAATAATAGGAATATGATGTGTGGTGAATAGGTGATTGGCATTAGTTGGCAACAAATTAGATACTATCTTCCAATTTCCAGTTCAAAATATGGAGAAATCTGCATGTATGTTTCAACTATAAACTCAATACCCATTACTATCAACAGCCCAAAACTAGTAGGCTGCTTTTCATAGTTCACTGATTCACGTTAATATTTTGTTATTTATTTCTTTATCTTACATCTGGCATCATCGTAACCGTTCAAAACACAATCCACTGTGTTACCTCTTACTACTAGTGTGTGTGTGTGTGTGTGTGTGTGTGTGTGTGTCCTTTCTTGACCATCTCCCTGAATTTTTTTAGATCATTGTGACCAACTTCTGGCAACTTGACCAACTCGAGATTAATCATTTAACGATAGTTTACTTAGCGATTTAAAATTTTTAACACTCTTTCTTGTTTAACAAATGTCAATTTTCGGTTTAGCAATCTTCAACTCACTGCGAAAAATTTGGAAGGGAAGTAAAAAAAAAACTGGGATTCTGTGCTCCAAGTGCACATCATTACAATACAGTAAAGTTTCGAATAACGACGGTAATGTGTCCTCCAATATTGCAGTGTAAGGTGAATCATTGTATCGCAAATCATTAATTACCATTAAAATAAAGCAATAATAATGAGATGCATTCCCAAGTGTGACCTTTTCATATTTTGTGTGTGGCTTTTACCCTCTTTTCCCCCAAAAATAATACAATTAATGAAAATTGTAAACTATATTCTTTAAATAATGTTTCAGAATGCACCTTATACAATATACTGTAAATGAATAATAATATGGTCACACAAGTGGAGATGGGACGCCATTGATTTCGTTAGTGTTTACAGCCGGGAGTCCGGGACGATAGTTCTACACGAGAAAATGAAAAATATAAGACCCTGGTTGTAGCTGTAGTAAAATTAATGTAAAAAAATGAATATAAATGTTTTAAGTAACATTACTTAATGTTAATAAATGGAACAATATAAGTAGCTAACCACTAATGGTAAAGAAAAAAAAAGTGAGACGGATTGGGAACGCCAACATATACTTGCACATTTAAGGATACCACGTCATTTATCTTTTTAAGAATACAGTATGTGCAAAAGATTCATTATTGTTTATTACTGAATATGCATTTGATTGACTTAATCTTTATATATGCGAAATGAACAATACAATTCATTAATAATACGTGGAATATTAAAACACACAATAGGATAAGAGATGGCATTGTTGTCAGTGTTTACACCCATAATGTTGGTGTAATAGCCCCTGTCTCATAGGCAGAAGCATTATATAAATGGGTTAATTACATTTGATTTATACACTCTATCATCCCCTGTAACTTTCCACTGGCTATGAGGTAGCATGTTCAGAGCACGTGATAAGGTGTGCCCACGGGAAGCTGCGTCATATTGTGCTGAGCTAAGGCATAAAGTAGCCGGCTCTCTGGCCACCTAAAGCAGGCAGTAGTTTGTTAGCACTCACGAGAGGAAGACGTTGTTGAGAGCCATCGTGAATGGTTCCGTCTCGCCTCGAGGGAGGATGACGGACATATTTCCGTTCTCCCTCGATGGGTCGCTACTCACCCTCACTCAATTATCGTATCGTCAGGACCTACTTAGCAGAGCTATTTAACATAGCCTCCATCCATCTCATGTTAAATCTCCTGTTAACATCTCATTAGCTACATTGAGATATTTTACAGTGATGAACTTACGGCAATACCCACCTTGGAAGCGTATCCGAAATAGCTTCTCAAGTGATTGTTACAAGTGGTGACAACCCAGGAAGGTTTATATGATAGTTTCACAAGTACTGTAACTGTTATATCACACTAACAGTCATCTCATCATATACACAGTAAAGGTAGAGATATTATGTTCTCCCCATTACTGTGGCATACTGGTCAAGAAGAAGAATTGTTATCTACGTCATGGCAACGGATCTACAAAGAAACCGTTATACTACTGTTACATCTGTTACAACAAAAATAAAACAGAACAAAGCAGCAAGTGGTTACGAATGACAACAAACCAGTCTAGATACAACATTCCATAACAAGTCAAAAGTGTTTTACAAAAACAGAAAAACAAAAAACAGTGACATGTTATTCGAGTGTCTTGGTATCCCGTAGAGAGGCGTTATACGTTGAGTGACCTTTATATTTTGTCATCCACAGAAGGTGTACAAAATTTATTTTCCCAATAACCGATTCTGAGTTGTTGATGACTTTCTATCTTATGGAAAGTTGGCAACACCCCTGTCTGGCAACAAGGAGTGGCGGCGAAGAACTCACGTGGTCAGCAATCAGCATCCTGTGCCCAGCGCTTGCAATGTTGCTACACACACACACACACACATACCTACGAGCTTCAAGGTTTGGCAAAACGTGGACCTTGCCATTATTTTAACCCTTTG